CAGATTTTTAAAATTTTTTTTATTTGGAATGGGGGATCCATAATTAAAGAGAGATTCAGTGCCCACTGACCCCACCCGCCATGGAGTTCTACGAGGGGACATACTACAATGTCAAACAAGGACACTGCAGCAATGCCAGGGTTTCATGAGCACTATACCCAAACACAGTATCAGACACAATGTTCACAGCACCTGTTGAGAATGCCCAACACTGGTACTCAGTTGACCCTAGCCCCAGTGGACCAGCCGACTGACCCTAGGGGAGCCACCCTAAGGCCACCCGTCTACAGGAATTCAAGGCCAAAGTGGTGTGTTGCAGTTCCCCAGACACCACTCAACCACCAGAATCCTCTCCCCCCCTTCACAGGTCGCCACACACAGCAAACACGTGGGTGGATGTTTAGATCCCAGAGAAAGTAACTGAAAAACAGAACCTTCCCTGGGAGGTCCCCTCACCACGTACAGGAATCCACGTCGAGGGGTCAAAGAGTTAAACTGTTATACATTTCAAGCAGCCAGAGAATGAAGCATGTGTTCCTGTTATTCTATACGACAAATTGGTCATGTTGCCAGAAGCAGCGTCTATGGGTTTCTGTGTGATAAGACTGTTAAAACAAACACTGGGTAACCACCATCTTCATACATTTGATAGATTAGGAAAACCTGCAAAGAGGTGTGGCATGCTTTGGACAAAGCATATTAACGACGAAGCCTTTTGCAATGAAAACTATGTTGCAAGGCTACTTTTAAGATGCACAGTCATCAGATAAAACCTGACCAGACATGATGGTATGGACTCTATGTAGTAATAACCTAAAATTAGTTTAATATAATGAGCTTAACTTTTGTAGTAAGTTTATTTTTATTTTACCTTCAGCTACGTTCCAGATAATCACCTTTAAAAAATATTCTACAAACACTTCAAACATAAAATTTTGTAAGTCAAACCTTATAAAAAAACAATAATAAGTTCATACTGATGTATAAATCCATATTTTAACAAGAGATACCATAAATTAGGTGAGTACGTACAGGCATAACCTAATCTTAAGGGTTATAAATTTCCAAGACAATATGTGGTTTTATATGTGTGTGTGTGTTTGTCATCAGTCACTGTCTTGAGTGTCATCATTTCTTTTGTGGAATATGTAACTATAGGGTAATTTTCACAAATGGGTCTAGACGACAAGAACATACAAGACAACCTTTTGGACAGTGATTGGCAGATTAAATGTAAAAACAAAGCTATGAGTAGTTGTTTGTCCCCTAAAATTTTTAGGTGGCACAGGTATGCACATTTTCCCATCCTGTATGTATAGAAAACTTAAAGAAAATAACTCAAATAATTGTTGTTTAAAAAAACAATGCAACTTTTCTGTTTTTATCCAAAAATTATTCCCTTGATTTCATTTAAGCTATTAAAGTTGGATTAATCTATATGTAATATTAAGTCCCTAAGAGTAATCCTTTACCAGCAAAACATTAGCACAAACCTTTTTCTGGATCAATAAAAGAAGTACAAAAAAACTGTCCATCTCCTCTCCAACTGATGCGAGTTTGCCTATCATCCCAAGTGAGCACATGCTGTGTAGTCTAAAATAAAGAAAAAACTAATATTTTTCACATCTAAAATACATTTTTTCAACCTTTACTAGATTAGCACTGAAATAAACTTATTTCCATTAATACAAGAAATATTCAAGTAGTCTAAAACTTATTTCTAACATTCAGAAAATTTTAAGTTATATCATACTACATACAGAAAAATAATACACATAGAAACATAATGAAGAATAAAAACCTGTTGTTGAAGTTTTGCTGCTTGTTTTCCTTCTGATCCATGGAATTGAGTCTCTTTTGATCCCCAACCAACTGTTACTGGTTGAACTAACAAAGATGAATGTATATAGTGAAAATTTCATTGCTAATATTTTATAAATACACTATCTGTATGAGACTTTCATATCAATATTAAAATTGGAAGTATATACAGTACACATATAATTACTTCCTCATATATATCTGTCCAAGTGTTTCTAAAATTTACTAAGCAATAAAGATTTATTCCTGTGCTTAGTTTTAAAACATGAGAAATATACTTACAGTAACTTAAAATTATTTTGCACACTAAAGCAATATAGTGTAATTAGAGCTATACAACAACATTATTTAGCCAAGGATAAACATTAAAATTAGTCATAAATGTATAAGTCAGTCATTAGAATGCCATTTAATCAAATCTGAGATAACACCCTACGAAAAAGAACTAGCTTTAGCAGAGTTTATCTGAAGATAAATTTTATTATTTTCTTCACAGCCAAAACATGAAATGTTTCATGAGAAAAAAAAAAAACTTCCCTATTACAGAAAGTATCTTTAACTGCTAATCTTTTCTCTAAATTGATTAAAGCGACTATATACTGAAGACTAGGGTTGCTAACTGTTGAACATTTTGAAGTAGGACTTTTTTTTTTTTTTGTAAGGGACCATCCATAAAGACATCACATGATTTAGACAACATTTGATCCCTTGTCACATGGGACAATTGGTCACATGGATGGCTCCTAATTGAAGTAAATGAGCACTTGGACAACAGTTGGTAGTAAAACATAAACACATTTTATCTTTAAGTAGGAAACTTAGTGCAAACTGGAAAGAATCCCAATTCATGGACATTGTAAAAGTTTGGTATCATTTGTATTTGGTTGTTTAAAATACTTGTACCTATGTTTGTTAGTGTTGTTCAGTGCGGGATTAACAATGGGGCACATCCACAAAACTCAAATTTTGTTATAATACATTCCTAAATATTTTTTATTTAATCATGATACTTTACTCTGAACAATAATTGTTCAAAGAATGACAGCAAGTCACATGAAATATGTTTAAATTAACCTTTTTATATTTTCTGCAATTTGAATGAAAATTGAACACTGACAACATATAACTGATTATTATTTATGGTAGTTGAGTGATAAGTGTGTGTCAAAGACCATTCTCAAAAATGAAGCTTATCAAGAATGATTTTCATTCTACTATAGTGCAGCAAAGACTGGTAAATTTTTGACCATTATCTCAACTGAAGTAGACATCCTGTATGCACTAAATATGGACGAGATTATATCAGAATTTGCAGCAACCACAGGGAAATTATGAAATATTTTGAACTGTTATTATGTTTTGCAGTTCTAATAAATTCAGTATTAAACAATGTGTTTATTATTTTACCATATATATATATATATATGTATGTTTTTGTTACAGATTCTCACTAAAACTATTTCTTGAAGAGTGACCTTTGTATCAAAATAATTAATTTGCTATGTTAAAATTACTTAAGATTAACTAGGTAAACATGCAAACAGTAATGGGTATGTTCAGTGACTGTTGCTTGACAACCCAAACATCATGCACATGTAGTGGTATATGGGATAGTGGCTATCTTATAACTAAATGTTAAGCTTGTACATTGTTAAAAGTTTAGAAAGAATGAAAGATTTATTCACTTCTCAGTCAATGAGTACACTTTTCTGGACATTTCATTCCAGAAGACAATGATGGAGTCTTAAGTGTTTTATTTATAACTATATAGTATACACTTTGTAGCCAAGAAAAAAAGAAATGAATGATCATAACTCAATTTATTGGACAAATGCATATTTAGCCAAATAAAACTCTAGTATTTTGATAATTATAACTCTATCTTACAAAGTATTAAAACCATTAAGGAATGAATAAAAATAAAAATCTAAGTTTCTTCAGATAACACAGTATTATTGAGTTAAAAACATTGTTTAACTTCATTAATGCAAGCCGAGGTAATGTTTTATTTTTGCAATTATGGTATGATAATCATAATTGTTTTTAAAGTTAGCTATGTAACACTATAACCAAACTTTCAGTATTTTTTTCATGACAGAAGAAACTTTCACTATAATAATACAATATTTTGGATTAATCAGTGTTGACATTATAGTCCTAAAGTAGCCTATATAAATCAAACAAAGTTAAAAAAATGTTATTATATTCTGTGATATAAAAGTTATAATCATTATACTCTCTCTCTCTTACAAAGTTTATACCCAACAGGGAGTAAGTAATAAGAAAACCTAAAATCTAATAAGGTAACATTAGTTTTATTATGATGGCAACACTTTAAATCCTCTGTTGGTAGGCAAGGCTAATTCCCTCCTGTGGCAAGCCAAAAGGCCATAATATATTGTATCAATGCACCACGGTTTTGCAGATGGTAGCCAACAGGGCCATAGCATATTGATTCAATGCACTGTTGATGTTTGGCTAACAGGTTATGGCCCTTTTGGCTATTACCTACAGGGCCATAACAATGATTCAATGCACTGCATTAACCCGATGACTACCGGTACTAACTTTCTAAGTAGGCAATGCAAGTGTGAGGGCAAAATCATTTGTGAATTGAA